TTATGTGCATTATGTGTATATAGAATAGAGAGCTACACACACACACACACACACACACACACGTGCATTCACATATACAGATTCACACGCCACCCTCCACCTATCATTTATATGCGTGGTCTTATTTCACCCTCCAAACGGCTTTATGAGACACATAGGTTGGAAGCATGGCCTCTGTAGCCAAACTAGGTTTAAACTGAAAGCTTTACCACTTACTAGCTGGGAAATCTCGGGTAAATTACTTAACCTCTCTGTGCCTGAGTTTCCCCACTTGTTAACTGTAGGTAGTCCTACCTCTGTATCACAGGATTACTCTAAGAGTTGAAACTACATTGAACAGCCTCTGGCACACCATAAACAATATATAAATATCTGCTATATTTTTCCTTACTTTCCAGAAGACTAAACTGAGGGAGAGAGAGGTTATGTAATTTTCTCAAGGTCACATGGCTAAAGTGAGAGACAGAACTCAATCTCAGCTCTGATTCTAAAGAGCTGCTATTATATTGCTTCTCAATAACACAGGCTTATTGCATTTTTTATCCCTGCTATTATATTAATTCTCAATAATAAAGGCTTATTGAATTTATAAGTAAAGTCACCACAAGAAAATTTCTTTACCTTTTCCAACTATGCTTTTTATGTTTTAAATTGTGATTTGTGCTTTATTTATTCATAGATCCTACAGGTCTCCTGTACTGTGTGAGTTCCACAAGAACTTCATTTGAATCTGCTATATTAATATATTCCCACCTGACATTTTGACAATTGTCCTTGGAAATGAAGTCCACTTTTATTATTAAACTAATTATATTCATGGCTTTAAAGTGATAAACCTAAGCAAAGATTTTGCTAGTGATCTATATAATACTACTTGGGTAATTTCAAATAAATAGGACTTTTAAGTATTAATCCCTAAATAAGTGACTTGACACTATTGTATTGCTCCTAGTATATATCAAGAACAGTGATATTTTTCCATATAGTCTTTAGCAAGTTCATCCTACCCCTGTATTCACTTGAGTTTTAAAAGCAAAGAGTGGCTTGGTGTGGTGGCTCATGCCTGTAATCCCAGCACTTTGGGAGGCTGAGGCGGGTGGATCACCTAAGGTCAGGAGTTTAAGACCAACCTGGCCAGCATGGGAAAACCCCATCTCTACTAAAAATATAAAAATTAGCTGGGCATGGTGGCAGGCACCCGTAATCCCAGCTACTCAGAAGGCTGAGGCAGGAGAATCTCTTGAACTCAGGAGGTGGAGGTTGCAGTGAGCCGAGATGGCACCAGAGTGAGACTCCGCCTCAAAACAAGCAAAAAGAGCATGTAAGCACAGCCTCTCTCTAGATAGTTCTAAGGAAAATGCACCATCTCTTGAAACTCCTTTATCTCCAGATTGCCGACTTTAACAGAGGACTACTATAAGAGATACCTTGCTAAGAAACAAGTTACTTTTCATTAAAAGTAATAACAAAAACCATAAATTACTTTTGCACCAACCTAAAATGTATAAGAATTCTGTCTCAATAAAAAGAAACAATTTCAGCTTGGGCAGCATAGCAAGACCCCATCTCTACAGAAAATGCAGGCAGCTGGGTGCATGCCTATAGTCCCAGCTACCTGTGAGGCTGATGTGGGATGATCACCTGAGCCCCAGGAGGTTGAGGCTGCAATGAGTTATGGCTGTGCCACTGCACTCCAGTCTGCGTGACAGAGTAAGATCCTTCCTCAAAAAAAAAAATAATAATCCATTTGATTTTATATATTATTTTGAGCTTCTGGAAAAGTATTTCTGGTGGATAAAATCCTGCTTCTTTGGCAAGGAAATACTACATTTGATGTGTACTTATTAAAAGTGTTAAACACATTTGATGTGTACTTATGAAAAGCACAGCACAACTTAATTCTCATTTATGATGCTTGCTTCAAGACCGAAGCTTGTGAAAAGAATTTTATTTACCTGTCCATTTTTCATTTAATTAATAGCTATTTTTAAAAAGTAGATATTAATTTTAATGAAATGTTTTGATTTCCGGAAGTGAAACTCTGGCTTTTGACTCTGACAGAACAAATATAAGTTACTTTATGTAAGTTGGCTTGAAACATCACAACCACAACAGTTGCCAGGGTTTCCAGGGTGTTTAAGGGGCACTCAGGATTCTGAGTCAAATCTCTGTCGTTTCACACATTACCCCATATGGTTTGGGTCTAGTTCTGAACAAATTACATGTTATTCCAGCCCAAAGCATATAATTCCTGAAGGAGAGCCTTAGCACTTTTCTGTCTTGTGGTAGCAACTGAGAACGTCTTGTATTCCAAATGGAGACAGGTACAAAATGATAGGGACTTCTGTCAGCCTGGGTCCTTGAATGACTGTGTGGAACCAAGAGACTTTCCTCTATTGACCTATGTTTGAGATGCAGTGTGATAAAAGACCTAAGCCACTGAGATCTGAGGACTGTTTATTGCCCCTGTAGAAAAGTATTGTCATCTCCAGCTATTTTCCAAGTGGATTGTCTTTTTCTTAGTGATTTTTAGAAGATGTTTACTTAACATTTGCTTGTTAAATATGCTGCATTTTTTCTCCATCAATAATTTTGCTTACAGTTTATTTTGCTGACAGGGATTTAAGAGTTGCAAGTAGCCAAACTTGTCAAATATGTTTTTTTATGACTTCTAGTTTTGTTTGTTTGTTTGTTTGTTTGTTTTTTGGCATAAATAGACTCTCCCTTATCAAGATTATAATTTTCCCAACACCAGTTACTGAATAGGCTGTCATTTTTCCACTGGGCAAAAAAGCTACTTTTAACAATGCTAAATCCTTCCTATATGTATAGATTTGTGTCTGAAGTCTTAATTTTTAAAAAATTTTTATGCCTGTACCATACTAATTTGCTTTTTATTGCTTTTTAATACATGCTCTGATAACTGAGACAATTCCTCTATATTTTCTATTTCAAAACATTCTTAGTTTTTATACACATTCATTTTTCTAAATAAATTTTGCTGTTTGTCAATTTTAGAAAAGAAATGTGTTGGGATTCTAATAGAAATTATGCTAATTTTATATATTAATATGGGGGACTGAAATCTTTATGCTACTGAATTTCCCATCAAAGAGCATGCTGTTCCTTGAAAGGACATCTCCATTTATTCAGGTCTCATAAAATTCTATAGTTTTTCTTGCCTAGTTCTTGTTAAATTTATTTCTAGGTATTTTATAACTTTTGTTGCCGTTGCAAATATATTGTCTTCATATAAGTGGCTGATGATTAAATTTTATGGCTCTACATTTAAACTAAGTAAAACAGAACAAATGAACTTTGAAAACCTATATGAGAATTCAATTTAAACCATCTCTTTTCAGTAATTATCTAGAAACTAGTTGAAAGAGACATTGTACAGAATTGTCTCAAAGATTAAAAAACATTATCTTTGGCATGTGCCAGATTTTAGAAAGTGGTGTGTACCCAGGATCTATCCGAGTGGCTCTGCATAGAACATTTGCCTAATTCCACTTTACTTTGATGTTAGGGCACCGGACTGTGAAACTTCTTTTCAGAACTTATTAGGAGGTTGTTTTTTGATGATGTTATTTTCTTTATAACTCTTTCCCATCTCTATGAATCTACCAAAGAGAAACTCCCCTGATGTTTGTTTTTCTAGAGAAACTGGTCTGTGCTTTTATCTAGTAGACCCTAGTGTAAATCATGTAATGGATAACATTTCTACCCCACACTCGCTGCCGGTGAGAATACAGTCAAATTTCCATTCATATCTCACAAATGCATTGCGTTTTTGTCAATTCTAATCTTTGAATTCAAATCTGATTCCTGCTTTGTTGGACTTTCTTACACTTAACGCCTGTATTTCATTTATTTTTTTTCTTCATATATCCTGTAAATCTTTGTAGTCCACTTTAAATACTTTCTGGATCAAAATAGACTTGAAAATGCAGAGGAAAAACCGACAAATTTTTATAAAAACAGGATTATATAAAAATAGGATTATATCCTATAATCCATGCTCTAATTTTATAAAATGGCATGATAAATATAATTATCACACCATTTGAAATAAAGAAATTTATTCTGAAATTAAAAATTATATTCTTTGAAATTACAAATTGGTTAATACCAAATAATCTTAGCTTTAATTTCCAAAATCAAATTCACTTTAAAACATCTTCTAGGAAAATGACTATACAGGTCAACATTGGACTCTCAGCCTGACTAGGCAACATATACTTAAGAGATTCATTACATTACTAGTTTTATTTCTCTTATCATTTGAAATGTGTATTTACTCCCCATTTTGTGCTCAATACTGAAAACACAATTCCTCAGCAAAGACTTGCTCCACCTTTATGCTTCAAAGTTTTACAAAACATAAAAAAATTTTAGTTCTATAAATTGAAAATAATATATTGATGGCCTAGCATTAAAATGTGGAAGGGCAAATCAGAATAGTTTTTAGCCAAAGGTATGTCTCCAAGCTAACACAGACAAGATGAAAACAAATACATTTTCTGGAAATATATTTTAGAAATATTTTAGATTCACTATATTAAACTTTTTAATGATGAATTTTTTAAAATAGAAACACATTTTTAGAAATTTGTAATACTCAAACAGATCTGTATTTATTCTATCTAAACTATCAAAATCTTAAATGAAACTCAGACAAGGTGACTGCAAATACTAAAAATTCACGGAGTTTACTTAACCGAGCATGCCTGAAGTATTCTGGGCACAAAGGATGACAGTCATGAGGCCGCAGTTGTCCTGGGTGCAGAAGCTGAGAGCTACATGTGATCCCTAAATGACAGAGTTGCTCCTGAGGACACAGTGGGCTGGATGAATTTCAACAACAATCAGCCTTATGTGAGGGTTAGTGAGCAGATGACCTATTAAGACAGAACTCTTGCCAAAAGTCTGAAATCAGAAACACAGCAGAGTTCACTCCAAGTTTCCTAATTTCTAGGCAGAGAAAACATTTCTAATACTTTTATTTAAAGAGATAAAATCAATTTGGTGAACGTCTTGGAGAATGTACACAATGAATTTCTTGTTGGAGCCTCTCTTGTTTTCATCTGATAGTTTAAAGAAATCTGTAAAGATCAGCCTCTCTACTTCTCAACTTCATCAGTCCACCTGGATGGAACATGAGATCAACCACGTACAACTCAGGAGGCGGGAGGCTCCCAATCACTCCCTTCTGAGATTCGTTCAGCAACTTGACTTCATTCCATGCTCTCCCATACTCTCCACGAACTAGGGAGCAACCGATGCCAATTCTATCTGCCAGAGCCTGCAGGAGAAAACAAGAGATCAACCAAGGGGATGCAGGAGAGGGGTGGGGAATATCCTATTTGTAATTGCCCACCGTGGTTGAAAGTGAAATACACAAGTCTTGCCCAGAAATGTTTAGATAGGACGCCGAAAGAGGACTGTTGGTGTAGGGGCCAATCAAATGTGATAAATTCCTTTATCAAACGTGGTAAATTCACTCAAGATGCAAAATCTCTGTGTAGGTCCTGCTGGGAAGTGACCTTTTTCAGGTAGTTACACTATTGTAACTATTGTATCAGATGCGGAAGGCGGTTGGAAAAAAGCTATTCCGTGCGCTCTCAGCACTAGCGCAACTATCCATCTTTCCAAACTTCCGGTCTCCCCCTGGCTGTGAAATGCAGTGGGACTGAATGGAAGCACCACTCTGAGGTGGGAACTCTTTCCAGCTGAATTACTCTGTGTGCCATGGAGCAGGAGAGGCAGCACTGTGGGTGCCTGGTCCTAGGGCTCCTTGTTTGCCACCTCACCAGAGACCACTTAGGTTCCTTGTAAGTTGTCTCTTTAATTTGCACTCTGATAATTCCTGATTTTGAGGTTATTAAAACAAAGTGTCTTTAATCTGGAGACTACTCGGCCACTTTATAGTGAACAGGAGAGCTGGCTCAGCCTGCCTGGGTTTGGACTGTAGCCCAGACCTGAGATGGACCAGCTGCACACCACAGCCAGGGACAAGGCATCTCTTGGCTTCCACGGCTTCATCTGAGAAATGAGGAGAGCAGCAGTACTTTGCTTATTACGTGTTAGGACGATGAAGTCAATAAGCAGGAAACGCTGGCAAGGCTACATACTCAGTTAATGCTACGTAGCACCAGAAGGCAGGAATTGTGCTTAGTACCCTGTATATGCATATATTAATTCATTGATTACTTACAATATAATGACCGCATCAGGTCTCTGTGTCTTGGGTGGACCATGATAATTAAGACTTGGTTATCATTTTTAGGGCCTTACATTCTACACAGACCTACTGTAAAGCGTCAACTATAACACAAACAGTATCTGAATGTATGGCACTTGTAGGTCATTGGGGTAGAGAGACAAAAGTAAATATATAATTATAAGATGTTTCCAAAAGTAACACCCCCTGTCAAAGCCTTGTAAATCATCAAAACGACCAACTCTGTGGACTAGAGGCTGTTATTTTCCCCATTTTGTAGAGGGTAAAAACTGAGGTCGCATGATTTTCTCGAGGTCACGGTATGTGGTGACTGAAAGTGAGAGCCAGGGAATCTGTCTCTGGAGTCTGAGTTTTTAATATCAGGGTAATAACTGCTGCTGATCGAGAGGTGAAGGAATTCCCATATGAAACTTTCTGTTTTCTTTGTGAAGCGGGACACAAGTCACCTGCTTAGAAGGAAGCGGTGCAGATGGAAGGTCTTGGGAAAGGGCAGATGTGGGACCCAGCAGCTGAAGGAAATAGGAAAAAGCCTGCCACTAGGAGCTGGGAAAGTGTGGCCTATGGGAGTGGCCTGTAGGTAGCATGGAGGAGTGAAGAGGATAGACAGTTGGAACAAGGCCGGGATGGGGTGGCAAGGGAGAGGGTGGAAGGATGTGCGGAGAAGGAATGGGGGAAATCAGTGAGTGAGTTAATTATGAGGGCAGTGATCTATTTGTGTAGTCTGCCTAGGGAAGAAAGTCAAGTCAAGCAGGCCAAAAAACTGGAAGAAAATAGAGGAGATAAAGAGTATATATAGGAGAGCAGAAAGATTTAGGAAGGGTGGAAGGACAACATATTTTATCAGTGAGTATTGCTGTTCAGAAGTTCAGTGATGGACGATTTCTGGGTAATTAATTGCATGACTCAGTTGAGATGTGAGGGTAATTCTGCTGGAGGCATCTTAATGAGCTTAGGATGCCTGCTATGAACTAAATGTTTGTGTTCGCCCCCAAATTGATATGCTGAAGCCATAATCCCTATTGTGATGGTGTTTAGAGGTGTGGGTCTTTGGAAGCTGATTAGATTTAGGTGAGGTCATGTGGGTAGACCCACAAGGGGATTAGTGTCCCTATAATAAGAAACAGGAGAGCATACTCACTCTCCACATGTGAAGATACAACAGGAGCCCTTTCCCGGCCATATGAGGATACCAGCAAGGTGGCTGTCTGCAAACCAGGAAGGGAGCCCTCACTAGACACTGAATCTTCTGGCACCCTGATCTTGGACTTCTCAGCCTCCAGAACCATGAGAAATAAATGGCTGCTGTTTCATCCCCCAGTTGGTGGTATTTTGTTGTAGCAGCTCAACCTGACTAATAACAGTGCTTATGAGACACTCGTATAGAGCTAGCTGGTTAGTAATCACATACATAGATCTGGAATCGGGAGGTTTGAAGGATGAAGGAAATGATCTGTAGATTTTAGGTATTTATGTACTATTTAAGGCCACATGAAGAAAGACCTCACCCTGCAAAGTACATAAAGGGTGAACAGAAGAGTGTCTGGCCCAGAACCTTGAGGAACCCCAATATTTAAGAGAGGCCTGTGGGTGTTCTCCAGTTCTTTGACCTGCTAAGCAAGGCAGATAATAAGGAGATCACTAAGGTCCTTATTGAGAAAGTGGGAGCAAAGGCCAGATGGCCATGAGTTAGGACAAAAATCAGAGGTGTGCCAAGGAGTGACAAGAAGCTAAGATGACTCAGAATTTTGACCAGGAATGAGAATTATCTATGGGTAGATCTTTTATTCAGGTCAGCATGGGCTCAAATTTCAGCTCCACCTATGGTTGACCTTGGGTAAAATGATTTCTCCAGGTATCAGTTTGCTCACCTTTAAAGCAAGGGTAGTAATTTCTATATTTGGCATTTTTGAAACTCTTCACAATTATAGTTATCAAGTCCCTGGCATATAGTTCAAAATGATGTTAGTCATGGTAATAAGATTTAAGGTTGTAATTGTAGCTATTATGAGAAAAGATTTCTATTTTGTCTTTATATACTGCAGACTTAAGCATGTTTAGATTTTAAAGGGGAAAAGAGCTAAGAGAGAGAAGAGAGTTAAGAAGGGAGAGAAGAAAGAATTGATAGAGCAGTCAGTCCAAGGGAATAGGAAAGGCTGGCCCTTAGATAATAAATAGAATTAGCTCGGAACTGGAGGTAAGATGCATGTGAATGCAATGATATTTATAGGTATTTGGGAAAGGGCAGGAAATTTATGCATTTAGTCTATAGTTCACATTTTCCCAGCTGCCATTACCTGCTAAACACTGGATAAGATGGAGCAAAAGATCACCCCCACTCTTCAACCTGATCCTTCTCTCATGTCTCCACATCAGGAAGTAATGCCATCATTACCAGCTGTCCCACCCAGAGCCCAGAAATCATTTTGGTCTTCTCATGTTCTCTCTCTCTCCGTGCCTGGGCAGTCCCCAGCTCCTTTCAGTTATGTCCCCTAAATTCATTGCCCCTTCCACATCTGCATGTCAGGATTTAGTATAGATCAACCACACTTCTGGCTCAGTCACCTTCTAACTGGTTTTCCTGTCTCCAGTCTTACCCCTGCTGTAACTCATTCCCCATTCTGTTGTCTGAATGGTGGTTCGAAATGATGTCACCCCCTTGAAAACTGTCAGTGGCTACTGTTATATTTTAGGGTAATAAAATAATACACAAACTTCCATGGTGCATTGTGATTTAGGGTAATAAAATAATAGACAAACTTCCATGGTGCGTCCGCCCCTCCTGTTTTCCTCATGCACACAAACTATTCTTCCTTCCTCAAATGGACCACTGACTCTCATCCCTGTATTGTTTTGCATAACAAGTTTTCTCTGTTTCAAATACCCTTGTTTTCCTTCTTTACTTGATGAAATCCTATGCAGCCTCTCACACTTGGGTTATACATCAGCTCTTTTTCTGACATTTCCCCTGACTTCACTTTGGAAACTGCAAGTCTGGTTTAGGTACCGCTTGAGTGCAGAACTGTCATTTTAGTGTCTTTGTACTCTCAGGCCCTGGCAGAGGCCCTTGCCGTAGTAGGTATGTGGTCAATATTGAATAAATACACTTCTCGTAGTCTGGTGACTATATGGGCAGGTATGTCTGTATATGCACATATGTACACATATGTATGTATGTATATGCTTCTATGTATATATACACATATATGTCAGATACAAGTAAATTTAAATGGTAGAATTAATAATATCCAGTTAAATGTTAGCAACTGGCCTACTCCAATATGATAAAGACAAAGAATTTTTACTTAATGCAAATGAGGCAAAATACCTTACATACCTTGAAAAGCAAAGCTCGATGGTAGAAGATTCCTTTTTTGACGTGTCCAATTGGTATAACATTGGATTTAAGTTGAAATTTTAGTTCACTTATGTGAAGTTCCCAGCTGAAATCAGGTAGTTTCTCTTTTGGAATCTTACCACCCATTTTTTCTGCCACATATCTGTGTCAATTACATTGAAATCAAATCAGTCAAGTTTAATAATTCACTCAGGATGCCTTGAGTGTAATTACATGTAAATATACATGTAAAAATGACATTTGTTGTGATTTTTATTCCTTTTGAGAAGGTACTTACAATAAGTAGGCTAACATGCTTACTGTATGTAAATCATCACATATAAACTGAAATGCTAGCAATTTCATTCCATGTGAAGAAGAAAATGAGTGCTAATTTTTCCCCATGTGTATAACAAGATAAAATCAATGTAACACTAAATATCAGTGCGGTTTTAAATTTTTATCTTTTGAAACGTATTTTAAAATATTTTCATCTGAAATCCAAGGAAGGAGTTGAACTAACATATGGTTCTTCTTTCAAGGAGTTTAAACTCAGAGACAAGACAAACACACAGAAAATTTTCCCATTAGATTTACAAACATTTTCAAGTTTTATAATTTTATTTTTTCTTTTAAAATTTATTTTAATTTAGAGAAAGATGTAGTGTGACAAAACTGAAGTCAGAGGAGCAAGAAAGAAGAAAAAGCAAAAAGAAAAAGTCACAGATCTGTGGGCAAGGCAGGATAAACATGGTATACTCGGCTTGTAGATTTCTCCTAACGCTAGGCTCTCACTGCAGAAGTCAGTAAACGTACCTGCAATACCTCTGTCTATGAAGACCACGACATCCTTGGAGTAAAGGCAGAACTGCAATTTTATTAATGTTTTTATTTGTATTTATAAAGAGAGATGGGAGTCTCACTATGTTACCCAGGCTGGTCTCAAACTGCCAGCTCCAAGAAATCCTCCCATTTTGGCCTCCCAGAGCACTGGGATTACAGGAATGAGCCACTGTGCCTGGCCCAAAATGCGAATTTTAAAGAATTTTCTCTTGCTAAATGAAAAACCAAGCAAAGAAGAACAATGGCTTAAAAACAAAAACAACAACAGAAAGAGTTGGGGAGAAAGCTGTTGAACTGACGCAGTTCCACCAAGGCAGGTTCCGGAATGCCTTGGAACCAGAACCATGGGGACAAATCCGCATCTCTCTGTATCTTGGTGTGGGCTCAGGTTAAAAAACGACAATTATCTGAGAATGATGAAAAGTGTTTCTGATAGGAACAAAGCATGAGGAGATTTGACAAATGTTCACATAAGCCAAGACAGAGTTCCGCTTGAGCCATCACTTCTCAAGGACATCAGGAGCACTTTGCTAGCCAAAAATGTTCTCTTCCAGTTCTGGCTGACAAAAAGTCAGTGATCTGGCAGCTGTGTTCCTTGCAGTTGTCACATCCAGGTTTCATGATAGCAACTCACTGCTATTTGGAGGCGATGCAGGCTCCCATGGAGACCACAGCTGTTGCACAAGCCAGCAGCTTACCCACTGAATGATGTCAGTCACGAAGCCTGTCCTCACTGCTGGTGATTCCTAACCTCTTAGAGCTACCGAGTCGAATTCCAGCCTTTGCCTGGTATAATTAAGCACTCAAATGAAGAGAGCAACTTCACTGGCTTATACAGAGCCCTGAGCCTGCCCAAGCAGCATTGCTTAGAAAGCTTACACCCCACTTAAGAGTAACGTGAAACACAAAATAGCAGACAGAGATCAGAAAAAGAGACGATGGACATTTCTATTAGAAAATATATCAGTTTACAAATAATTCACAGTAGGATTCCTATAACTTATGAACACCCCATCCACCTGAGGGATAATTAAATTTTCAAACTTTTGACACATTCATAACTTCTACAGAATCACATTAAAATACCCGTTTAATGAGCTAGCTGAAGAAAATGACAGGCATTTTTCCTGAAGCAATTTCCACCTCCTATGTCTGATTCTTAGCTGACGTATGACCTAAGTAGAAATTGAGGACTTTGCCCAATTCATTGTGTTTCTGTGTCAGAGTCAGAGTGCTTTAAGGTTCAACTTTATTTATGGTGTGTTTGTCTAAAAAATGGCTATAATATATGTGCCACTAACATTTTTTTTGGAAATTAAAAACATATATATACATAGACGACTTACTTTGCAAGAGCCTCAATCTGTTCCTTAATACTGGTTATGGGCAGTATTGATTTGGTCACCTCATACACATACATAGAGAAATCGGGGTCAGCGGGAGGACACCATTCTTTGTCAGAGCTTCCTTCACCAACGAATTTGGGAACTGCCATAACCTCTTCCTCTTCTTTCACTTTTTCCTCTTCCTTTTTTCCTCTGCCTTTCCTTTGAGAGTAAACAAGGGCAATCAAAATCACATCTCCTGCTAAACAAACAGACAAGCAAACAAATGCTCTTGCATTTCTGAGAACAGCATCACAGAAATAAGGTACACTGAATCCTTGGGCAACACGAGATTGAACCGTGTGGATCCACTTATATGTGGATTTTTTTCAGTAAATATAGCTGGCCCTTCTTATCTACGGGTTCTGCATTCCACAACCGAACGTAACTGAAACTACAGTATTCGTGCTATGTACACAGATACAGAGAGCTGACTTTTCATATATGTGGGTTCCATAGGGCTGACTGTAGGTCTAGAAATAGGCATGGATTTTGGTATCCATAGGGCCTCGTGGAACCGATTCCCCATGAGGAATGACTATATTGTATACATACATAAAGTTTTCCAATTTTCATTTTCAATGATGATGAATTTTACAGAGTCTATATTAGACAAGATATACTAATTTTCAAGAGAACATTATGTGATTGGAATATCTTATGAAAATCATATATTGGTCCTCCGTACAATTGCCTAGCAAGGTGTCTGGCACATGGCAATAGGTATGTAACACATATTTATTGAATTGGAAACAATTAGGTTGCCTCCTCAGAGTCTAAGCCAGCTACATCATCTCTTACTTCCGGTAAAACCTTCTGCAGGAATAATTTTGATTGCTATTTTTAAGAAAAATTATTCAAAACAAGAAAATTAAGCAAAAAAATAAAAAACCTCACAAAATAAGAATGGCATATAATCTCCATGATGTACAAGAACAAAGACTCATCCAAGATTTATCTAGGGAAATGTACTTAATTCAGTACTTAGTACAAATATAATTTTAAATAAAAGTTCTGGACTTAGAGAATTACTAGGTAACGTGTATATTTTAAAATGTAGATATGCAAATAATTTCTGTTCAATGGAAAAGATACTTCAAAAGTTACAGTTTATTGTCCTATAAGATGTTAACCAATGTGGCATATAACTCAGCAATCTTTTTCTAATATTCCTTAGTTAAATTGTATAGAAATACCTTCCACCTGAACTGTTCTTTGAACCGGTGTGAACATCTTACTGGTTCCCCCCCACCTCACTCCCAATGAATGAGTCAAACACAAGCAATAACACGGGATCTTATTCCAGGTAATGTAGGGTAAGCACATTTCACCCTGTCTGTCCCATTGAATACAGTCACAAAAGGTGGACAGGATGCATGCAACAGCTATTTGAGGACTCAGAAAAGTAAACAGCAGCAGCAAGAGCAGAGAACAAATTTCAATTAATACTCTACTGATGACGATTTTATCCTTTTATTGAATTCCACAATTCACCGTGCTGAACTAAACTTAGCCCAGTAACTGGAAGTAAACATCAGCACAGACAGAGAAAGCTCAAGAAGATGCCCTCTTGAGCGACAAAAAAGAGAGAATAAAGGAAAGTCCCCATTTTTTTTCCCCCATTTTTCTTCATTCTTGTGCATTCTAAGCCCATGAGGAATCCTGTGACAGTGGTGGCACTAGTGGCACTGGGATCCTTTAAGAGCCTAAAATTGCTTTATACTCACTCAGACCTTCTGCTATTTGGCTGTAGAGATGGGTGTAGTCATGGCAAGAGTGCAGTAGATCAAGGTAAATAAAGTTTTCTGGCTGGGGAATCTAAAGGGAAGCCCCCAAAGAATCAGAAAAGCCAATGAAAATCATGGAAAAGAAGGAGCTTAGAAAATCAATCCGCGCGGTGGCTCAAGCCTGTAATCCCAGCACTTTGGGAGGCCGAGGCGGGTGGATCACGAGGTCGAGAGATCGAGACCAACGTGGTCAACATGGTGAAACCCCGTCTCTACTAAAAACACAAAAAATTAGCTGGGCATGGTAGCGCGTGCCTGTAATCCCAGCTACTCAGCAGGCTGAGGCAGGAGAATTGCCTGAACCCAGGAGGCGGAGGTTGCGGTGAGCCGAGATCACGCCATTGCACTCCAGCCTGGGTAACAAAAGCGAAACTCCGTCTCAAAAAAAAAAAAAAAAAAGAAAATCAATCCCATAAAATTATTTATAAATTCCTAGGTTTACCCGGAGTTGTGGATGCAGGGCTTGACCCTCAACAGCACATATATAGACTTTGAGAACTCAACTATGGGATAGACTGCCATCCAAGTCCCAAAGTGGATACTGATTGGCATACATGGAGAACCAATCCAAATAGCACTGCAAAGACTTTGAAAATTAAGCTGACACTGTAATGACAATCACAGAAGCCTGGTTAGAATTGGAAGCCTGAACTCAACTTGGTCAACTGCCTGCTAAAACACACACAAAAGGAATATTCTTAGAATGTAAATAAAACCCATAAATAAGACCCATAGGACTTACAACTTATTATAATCAAAAATTACTCATTATATGAAGAACCAAGAAAATATCAACTTACATAGACAAAGACAATCAATAGACACCACTGCCTAGATGACACAGATGTTGATCACACAAAGACTTTAAAAATGCTTCAAGAAGGTCAAGTACTCTTGAAATGAATAGAAGTTTAAAACTCTTAGAAAGAAATAGAAGACATAAAAATAGAAGACATAAAAAGGTATAATAAAAAGCTTAAAAGAACACAACTCCTTAAATGGGTTTAATAGCAGAAAAAAGATGAAAGAGAAACTATCCAATGAACTTGAAGATAGAACAATAAAAGTCATCCAGTCTGAACAACACCGAGAACAAAATTTGTTGTTGTTGTTGTTGTTGTTGTTGTTTGTTTGTTTGTTTTTGAGACAGGGTTGCCCTTGTTGCCCAGGCTGGAGTGCACTGGCTGCCACCACTGCTCACTGCAGCCTCAAACGTCCAGTGCTCAAGTAATCCTCCCACCTCAGCCACCCGAGTAGCTGGGACTACAGGTGCGTGCCACCATGCTCAGTTAATTTGTTTTCTATTTTTTGTAAAGACAGGGTCTCACTGCATTGCCCAGGCTTGTCTCCAACTCTGGGGCTCAAGCGAACCTCCTGCCTCAGCCTCCCAAAGTGCTAAGATTACAGGTTTGAGCCACTGTGCCTGGCTAGAAAACAAAAGATTGAAAAAACAGTTGACAGATGCTCAGGGACCTGTGGTAGAATTAAAAAGGTCTAACACTGGTATCATCAAAGTCCCAGAAAGAAAAGAGAAAGGGTACAGTATAGAAAAAACACACTCAGTAAAAAAGGAAAAGCTGAGATGGCTTCCTCAATTTGGGTGAAAACATAAATCTACAGAGTCAGGAATGTCCGTGAATGCCAATAAGATAACCCCAAAGAAATCCGCTCTCAGATATATCAAAATCAAACTTTTGAAAACTAAACACAAAGCACATGACATGACTGTCTATGTAGGAATTTCCAAGGAATCCTCCAAAAAAGCTATCATATATGAGTTCATCAAAGGGTCAGGATATGAGGTCAACACACAGAAACCAATTGTGTTTCATAAAGTAATAAGGAACATGTGCAAATCAAAATTAAAACCAAAAAAATATTTGAAGCATTTACCATTGCTCCAAAGAAAATACTTACACACTTTGCAAAAACATGTTGAATTCCTATATGATCTGTGTGCTGAATATTAAAACTGCTAAGGGAAGCAATCAAAGAAGACTTAGATAAATGATGAGACATATGGTGTTCATGGATTTGAAGGTGTAATGTATTAAAGATGTCAGTTCTTCCGCAAAATGATCTCTGGTTTTAATGTGATTCCTATCAATATTCCAGCAGTTTTTTTTTCTAGACATATAATAGAAAATCTTATTCTAGAATTTATATGAAAAGGCACGGGCTTTTGGATAGCTACATCAATCTTGACAAAGAAAAATAAATTGGGAAGAATCACTGTACTTGATAGTAAAGCTTACTAGATAGCTACAGTAATTCAGACAGAGTGATACTAGCAGAGGGATAGACACATGGATGGATGTAATAGAGCTGAGGATCCAGAAATAGAAACCAAAAAAAATAAGCCCAACTGATGGTTGACAAAGGTGCAAAAGCAATTCAATAAAAGGATGGACTTTTCAACAAATGGTAGTGGGGCAATTCGATTTGAGGGTCCACATGGTGATGAAACTGTATGTTATCTTAACTGCACTAGCAGAGGCATAAACGTACACATGTGATAAAATTGTGTAAAACTAAATACACACACATGTAGAAGAAAAACGAAAAAACTTGAATAAAATCATTGGATTGTATTAATGTCAATATCTTAGTTATGGTATTCTATAGTTTTCAAAATTGTATAATTAGGGTACATGGGATTTTTCTATATCACTTCTTATAACAGCATGTTATTACCTCACAAAAATTTCAGCTAAAAACTTCCTTGGCCTTACTTTTGTCATCTATTTCTAGGCTGTATTCTGTTCATTGATCTGTCTAGCCCTTCACCAATACCACATGATCTTGGTTACTGTGACTTTATAGTAAGTCTTAACATCAGGTGGAGTGACTATTTCAACTTTATTTTCCTTTTTCAAAATTCTTTTGGCAATCATAGTTTATTTACCTTTCCATGAAACTTTTTAGAATCAGCTTGTTTATATCTACAAAAAATCCTGCTGGAATGTTACTGGAATTGTATCAAATCTATAGCGCAATTAGGGAAAAATCAACATTTTTACTATTTCGTATTTTCCAATATTTGAGCCTGGTATGTCTCTTCACTTAGTGATTCTTGGATTTCTTTTGTGTTTTTATAGTTTTCAATGTATAAGTCCTGGACATGTTTTCTTTCACTTTCATTTTTTATTTCATATTTCATTTCTTAAAGCTATTTAAAATATTTACAAAATATTTGGTTTTCAATTGTTTATTGCTAGCCTATAGAAACATGATTGATTTTTGTATGTTGACTGTATTGACCTTATATCCTGATATATTACTGAACTCATCTATTAGTTCTAAGAGTTGTTTTAAAGTGGATTTCTTATGGATTTTCTGTTTAGACAATCATGTTGCCTGCAGATAGAGAAATTT